ACTTTAGTGTGAACGACACGAGGCACGCGTGCGGCGCAAACTGCATGGACGCGGCGGACACCGGCACCGGCATGCACAGTCCAGTCTATCTGTTGCTATGGCTGACGAGAGGATAGTGAGTGGAACTGGTTTCTACCGGAGCTCGAGCGCTTTCGACAGGTTTATTTCCGCGACCTCTGACCATCCCAGAGCTCCGACAACCTTCGACGATGTAAGTGAGGCGTCGATGATGAACAAACGGAGAGTGCTCGCGCCTTGTCAGGGCCGTGAAGTCGACCAAGCTCTCTCGATATTTCCAGAGGGGAAATTCGTAGTATGCATCCAGTTGATCTCAGTTACAGGATACTGAGCCAGCAGAAAAAAGGTGCCGAGTTTTTAGTGGCTTATCATCGGGGTATGAAAAATCAACTGCCGGGCCCGGCTGCCTTGTAGTAGCCAGGAAGAAAATAGACAGATGCTAGACACGAACTACGACACGGCACATAAGCTCACTCCGAGAGTTTGCAAATATCCACCTGCACAGGCTTCCCACTAAGGATTTTGATGTTGGCGTACGTCCCCTTCGTTGCAAACGAGGGATTGACTGCCACGGTTTCGTCGACGGTCTATAGACTCGTTAACATCTCATTGCGGTGCGGATACTCGGCGCAGACACACCTTATGGAACTGCTTGAGCTTGCTTGGCAAAATAAGCACCAACGGGGCGGTATCTTCCGCTAGTTTTAACTTGCCCGAATGTGTGACATCAAGATTTACTTCATTTACGAGGTCGAGTGGCGGCGGGAATATTGGGTAGAAGCTGAATTGGGTGTATCAGCGCAAGTTCAGTGGCAGGAGTAGCAGACGTGCCTTCTTTGCTGAAGGACGTGCCTGCAAAGCTTCGCCATAGCGTCACTCGCAGGGGTTTCGTTCTCAGCAAGTGGCGCCGAGCTGATTTCTGACATGGGCTTGAAGAACTCTTCCTTGCGAAGATGAAAGAGTACGTCGACGCTTGAGACAGCGAAGGAAACACCATTGAGGGATAATTGGCTTGGATTAGGAATTGAGTATATTCTCTGCGAACAATCGAGATGTGAGTTCAAAGAAAAAGACATTGATACAGAGAACGCTCACGGGGTCATCAAAGACACTTGATGCAAGTTCAGCTTGCGGAAACACCGCGTAGTCGCTTATCAGATCGCGTACACTAGGCACAACTACGACCGACGTGCCGGGCAATGAGTCCAAGAGCTGCTGAAGTGGCTCCAGGATCATCGAGCGAAATTGCGCTATTGGCGGCTCGTCTACCTCACCGTTCTTCCATAATGCATGCATGCAGTCGATAAATGGTCCGACCTGGGGAATATATTAGCTCGCAATCTAGTTTTGCTCTGTGGTACGCACAATGATGATGATTTCAGGCTTCTCTGTCTTCCATTTTGCCAGCAGCAGTTTCCACGGCTCATAGCTCAAGTCCGCATCAGCCGTAAACGGTCCGCAAGCGACAGAAACAGAAAAGGAACCATTGCTTCCGAGAGCTGTCGGTGCGGGTAGTGAAGGGAGCTGATCATTGTCTTCACCATTAGTCTCCCCATGATGTACAAAATATGTCAAGGCTCACAGGTAGTACCTCCGTAACCGTAAACCATCCACCTCCACCGTTACTTCCACGAAGTGCTACTATCGCTCCAGGGAAGAACCCAACACCTCCAATGCCCTTCTTCGCGCCCTTCAGCCTAACATTCGGGTCGAGCCTCAGGGACACGCGTACACCTGAGCCCATGGATCGAGAAGCCTCGAGGGTGAGGGTAGCTTCGTTCAACTTCACGGCGCTTGCGGAGGTTGAGTCGGCGTCGAAGACGATGCGGCCTACGATGGTGGTTTCTTCCTGTAGGCCAATCTAGTCTATGCAACAAGTGATGAAATGTGGGACGTACCTCTGTACTCTTAGCAGGGTCCCCGAACTCCTCAATATTGTAGAACGATTGGACAAGCTCCGCAGTCTCTTCTATCTGGTCGTCTAGAGCCTCGCCGCGTTCCGAGATCTTCTGGTACATGTAGCGATCTGAGGGCGTTCAGCGCACGTATGCTGAACAAACCGAGAAAAAACCCACAGCGTTGTCCCATCGGCGGTATGTTCTGCAGATTCGGACACGACACAGTGACCTTGCTGGGTCCCGCCGCCATCCACTTCGCCTCCGGTACTCCCAACGAGCTCGAGCTGGGGAAAAGCTTCTGCTCTTTTGGCTCACTCTTGACTGCGACACGTCCAAATAAATTCATAGACATCTTGGCATTGAGATTTGCGCGACCAGCAGCGACGGCTTGTGCGTGCTTCTTCGCCTTCTTCGCATCGTCCTGGAGCTGGCTCTTGAGGGCATCTACCGCCTCTGCAGTCACACGCGGTCTTATGGATGAATGCCCAAGGCTCAAATACTTCGCTTCCCATTTGTAGAAGATGTCCTCTCCAGACAGGTTGTAGTTTCGGCAGAGGTCGACGACTGGGGACCATGCTCGGCATGAGACGAACAGCATTACTTGGACAAAGAGAATTCTTACGTTGATCGAGCAAAGATTCGTCATCGAGAAACACTCCAAACTTATCAGATAATAATTTGCGATTTACTGCGTCCATGTCGCATGCAGAGGATGGAGGGCGCGGTCGTGGTCGCGTCCTCTGAACACGCCAAGTCACGGTGTTATTCGTGACTACTTACGTCAGCAGACTGCCTCCACTCTACACGGCTTCGCCCTACACTATTTGGTCGGCCGCCGCCCGTTCGTGGCGGCTGTCATAGATTACTGAGGCCACTGTCGTTATCGCCGCTGCGGTTGTACAGGGTCACAGTTACCCCCTACCGCCGTTCAGGTCGAAACAGTACGTTTCGCATACCGGGACCAGTGACCATGATGGTACCCATGTATAGTATTAATAGCATATAGTGTGGACCGTCAGATCTTCATTATTCCATCGTGCATACATTTGTGACGTGGATATCTTTCTCTTAGGCCTATAACGCATTCTTGAAGAAGGGCGAGCACTTCATGGCGAAGGAACAGTACAGAAACGTCACATCAGGTCATATCGAACATGCTCAATGAATATTGACCTCAGAAAGGGGGCATATGGCAAGGTGATCTCTTAGCGGACGGTTTATCCTCTCCTGGGTCCACCGGCTGCCAATCTGGACCAAACGGAGAACCCGTCAGCGATAGCATCAGGGAAAAATGACTTTGCTACATAGTATTACGAAGCCAGTGTAGAAGTCGAAGCAGTCGGAGAATGGTCCCCCTTTCAGTAGCAAGCACCAAACACGTCCCTGCTCCGGAAGCACTCTCGTAGTAACCACTAGTCTCAGGAGCACTCTCGTAGCAACTCTGAGGTATAACTGTAGCTTGCCCCATGTAAGCAATATTGCACCTGGTATTGTAGCATTGATAACCAATCACCCATCTCATCATACAAGTATCATCAGAGCATTAATATTGAATAGCATATTAACTATTTTACAGGGCTGTATTTACACAGAATGTCTTGTACTACCACTTGAATGAGCATGGGCAAACATTACATTAGTATGTATCACCTTGGGCACACAGCTGGATGTGGCACACTGAGGTAGCACACGAGGACGGCGCCGGGCTGCGGTACTCCGGGGAAGAGCGCCGCGGGCAACACAAAGTCGGTGCCGGCAGCGGACACGTTCATGTGGTAGAAGAGCGCGAGTGCACGCACATGCGCCATCACCTGGTCGTAGACGGTGCAGCCACATGCGCCATCACCTGGTCGTAGACGGTGCAGCCACATGCGCGGCGCTGTAGTTGCTTTGCGAGCTGTCTATGCCGAGGTCAAGGACGCGGCTCCCATTCGCGCTCACGGGCGCCCCCGCTACAGCGAGCACCGCATAGAAATTCGTATTCGTGTTCGCGCTACCCACACTCGCACCGCACGCGACACCCGCCAGCAGCTTGAGCAGGTTGTACGATACGCCCAGCTTGTGCGTGCGCAGGTACGCACCTGAATAGCCAACGCTTGCCATCTGCAGCGCATAATCCACCATCCAGAGGCTGACAGCGAGCTTGTTGGACCCGGGGACCCCACCACAAGAGGCGGAATCAAACTCGTCCATCAGTAGGGGCTGCGCTGGTTGGACGGCGTCGAGATGATGGCCTGGAGGTCCAAGTGCCAACCCCGGTGAGCCTTTGTACACAGTACCTGTGCGAGCCGTGCTTACCACTTGCTCTCTGCCACTCACGTGCCCGTCTTCACCGCTCAATGATACGCCACTGAGCCTCTCGCTGGTATTCATGCTTGCTGTTCGATGACGGGCGC